TAAATAGTTTATACAGTGCGAATTTCTAATATTATCGTTATTGGTTGATTTTACGTTAAGAAAATTTGTTAATCACTACCTAACGCTAAAATATAACAAATAAATGTACTGAACCAAATTTAAATACATGTACGTGTATCTAAATTCGCCTTAAATGGCGATAACTTTAAATTGTTCAAAAACGATTACCACCCCCGTTTTTTAGAACCCAAATATTCACGGCAGTTTACGGTATCATAATTGGAAGATACATTTGCCAATCACAAATAATATCGAAGGGGATTCAGCACACATTATCAAACTCTCAAAGGTATTTTGGGGAGAGCTGAACGTGTAAACAGTTTACTGTTATAGTATTAATACTTAAACAAACATGAGTTTTGGTCTTTGGTAATACACCTTTACTTATAAAAAAAACTCTATAGATGAAGTTTATTATCAATTTTTCCAATATTGCCATGAGCATTCTCTAAAAAACCATTATTAAGAAGTACATATCGATCATTTATAAATAAAAAATTGAAAGTTTATACATGTATCAAAGTTTGCAATTTTACTAATAACGATAAGTACAAAATTATTATGTTACATAAGATCTAAAGTCATCAAACGTTTGTATTTTATAAAATGGATAAACTTCTTTACTAAGAAGCAATTCAAAATTTAATCCGTGAATATGATGGAATAGAAACTTTCTGAGTATAATATGAATTAAATTTTATGTTTACTCTTTAGTAAAGAAGTTTTTCCATTTTATAAATACAAATGTTTGATGTTATGCACCATATAAATTTTTACTATTTAATTAATTATTTGAGCTTCAAAAGATCAGAAAGTTTGGTTTAATTTGATATAAAAATAAAAAAAATTGTATTCATTTTTTCATCGGAAGAAAACTGGATTTTTTTATTTTCTGGGTTTCTTCCGATTTTAAAATTGAAAAGAAAACTGTATTTTTCTGATTTAAAGCTGGAAGAAATCGGTTTTTTTTTGTTTTACGGATTTCTTTAAATTTTATTTTTTATATATTCTGATATTAAATCGAATGTTTTTACGTGATATCTCAGGAACCAGTTTTCTGACTCAAGAAAAATTAACATCATTTGATTTGCCTTGATATGACGAATCGAATGGTAATAAATTTGTTTGAATTGGATCACTGAGCTATTGAACAAAAAGTTTAAATTTTAATTTTTATGTTTTCCATCTTAAATCTGAAATAATCCAGAATCCTTTTGTTTCAAGTTCTTTTTGATTCTAAATTTGAAAATTAAAAAATTATAGGAAAATTTGTAAGTACAGTTAAAAAAAATGAAAGATAACAAAAAAAAACAGAAAATAAATGGAAAATAAACGAAATAAGTTAAATAAAATTTAAATAAATAAAGTCCAAATACTCTGAAAAATATCCAGAAGGATTCCAGGAAAATGCTCTGTAAAATATTCCGTAATATATCAAAAAATAAATAAAAAAAACTGGAATTAGCAGAATCATCGTTTTCGTTTATCATTTTTCTCAGGAATTTTGTAAAAATTTACTTTTTTTTCTGAACATCATTTTGTGAGTCAAAAAATTTAAGATACTGTATCGGTATCGGTATGTAGATTAATTTAGAACGCTAGTTATTTATTCAAAACTTTATCGATCAACATTCAGCATTTATCAATTTTGCAACTCGCATCATAAAAGATGGTAAAATAAAAAAACTACATGTACAATGAATGCTGGCTTATTATTGAATTCATACTCTAATAAATTGACGAAACTTTATGAATATTCCAAATATTGCGACATTTCAATCATTGTTGACGATATTCGAAACGTTCTTTCCGATGCGTGGGTGAAATGAGAATCCCATAAACTAATTGTCTTTAAGAAACCAAATATTGAAACTCATATCGTTGTAATCTTGTTAAGGTAATCTTTCTTTTAAAATGATGTTTAAAATTATATTGAATTGAAATTAATCTATATAGTTATTGCGATATAAGATATGCATTAGTTCCAAAAAATATCGTATAGTGCTGGAAAAAGTGCCCCTTGTAGAAACTTAAGCCTTAATTAATTTACTCTTTACGGTAGCCCGTTATAGCCCAAATCCGCTATATCGATTTTCACTGTGTACAATCTTTTAATTCCAGTAAACCAATTACATGTATTGGGATTTTGTCGTATCTTTCATCCTTGCAATTGTTTTCATTTGTTCTGCTAATAATTTACATTACACAGATATAAGGTTTATTTCCCGTGACACAATTCGATATGCATGCGTCAAGATATACGTATTCCTATTGGATATAACGATCACAATAAAATATTAGCATTGATACACAAATAAATACATGTTGTCACATTTACTAATTTCTGATTGACGCAAGTAATTTCCATTGCTGATTGGTTGACTACACACCGGGTTTTCTAGATTAACCAATAGAAATGCATAATTTTTGATCAAACCGGCAAAACAAATCCGACACAAGAAAATTAAAAATGCCAATAACGATAATGTGAAATATACGGAAAACGAATGCTTAAATCTGCAATTTTACATCCTATTCCCGACTCTAACTCTAACCCTAACGCTAAAACTAACTTTTAATATCCTCAACCAATCAGAACTTAGGTGGAAATTAGTAAATTCGTTGTTGTCCACATCTTTTTAAAAGTCAATGAAAAGACTAAATAGGAAATTTTGTGTTTAGTTTTTTGAAATTTGTGGTATTACAGATTTTAATGTTTGAAATTTAACCAATACATGTATTTGGTTCGCACTCTTATTAATTTATTAAAAATAACTCATATTTTGAATCCCGTTTAGAAAGAAGTCTTTAAATATCACAAGCAAAACGCCGAATACCGAATGTCACACTATGTTTTGTTTTCTCGTAAATAGTATATTCTTTTTGTATTAAACAATAACACAATATGGATTTGGCGTCCAAAAAAATTAACGAAGTTATCAGCGTGATTAAAAGAAAAAATATATTTATACAGCTTCAAGATTCACTAATTCAAACTTATATTATCAAAAAATTCTATAATAAACACAACGATAAACTAAAACATGACTAACGATAACGATGATGCGTCAAGCATCACCAACACGTCAGCGGGAAGAATCAGACTTTTAGGAACTTTTGCTGGTATCGGTAGTAATTGTAATAACATGATTGGTGCTGGAATATTCTCATGTCCCGGTCTAGTTTTAAGTGAAATTCAGTCTCCCGGGATAGCATTAATTTTATGGGCAGTGGGTGGAATTGCCGCTTTATTTGGATCACTCTCTTACGTCGAGGTAGTTATTTGTATATTTATGTTTTACAATTATTTATTTCAATTTAATTTAACACTTTTAATACATGATAGCTGGGGAGTTCTATACCAGAAGGAGGCGGAGAAACTGTATATTTGAAACGAGCATTTCCTCACCCACCCGCACTTTTAAGCTATATGTTTAGCTTTTCCACCATTGTGGCTATTCGGCCAGCTTCAATGTGCGCCATTGCAAATGTTTTCGCGCAATATTTCTTATATACAATTAAAGCAACAGAGCGTTGTGACATTGATTATTTGCATCCAACGCAATATATTACTGATTGGAAATTTTGGTAAGAGATTTCAATAATAATCGTTATATGGATTCACACTCTTAAGCTATTCTAAACATAGAAATTGTGTCATTAGGCAGTTACGACTTTGTTCGCTAACTGCGGTATTTATAGTTACAATCTATCACATTCTATCCAACAAATGGGCAAATCGTATAAACCAAACCCTTACAATCATTAAGATGCTGGTACTGCTTATAATATCGATTATTGGAATAGCAACAATTCCTCGGTTTATTAACGACGAAAACACGAATTGGAAAAATATGTTTCCTAGTGTGAATATTAGTGCACGCTCTTTGACTGCTGCGCTTATTCCCATTTTATTTGCATATAATGGCTGGAATAATTTGAATTGTAAGTGATAAAATTTATATACGTGCTTCAGTAACTTAGATGTTTAATTTAAATCTTTTTTATAGATACGTTGGATGAATTCGTCAATCCAAAGGAAAAATTATTCATGTCTAATAGTATTAGTGTTGGTATAGTTACTTTTTTGTGTAGGTATTACTTACTATACAAATGAAATTTGTTGTTGATATTCTTAAATTTAATGTGTGGATTTGTATATATTAGATCTTTGTGCTAATATCGCATATACGAATGTGCCATTAGCCAAACTAACGGGTAAAAGTGAACCATCAGAAATTATTGCTGGTCGGTTCGCCTTCCAAGTTGGTGGCTTTAATTTGGCTCGTGCACTATCATTTTTCATCTGTTTATCAGCTTTTGGAGCATTGGCCGCGAACACATGGGCGGGATCGCGAGTAATTGTAGCCTCCGCTAAAAATAATTATATTCCTTTCTCGCAATGGCTCAGAAAATGGAATAAAACTACACATACTCCGATTTTTGCATTGGTAAAAAAATATTTCAAACATTTATTTTTTTGATCTTTTAAACATAAACAATTAACTTTAAATATTTCAGATAACACAAGCAGTTTGGTGTTCATTGATTATTATCATTTACCCACAAAATGATCCATTTAAATTCTTTATTAATTTGGGTCAGCATTGCATGTGGGTATTTCTATTTCTGAGTGCTTTGGGATTATTGGTGAGTTCTTAGATTAATAAGTCTTTTGTCAAAACATTTAATGATTTTAAAATTCTAATTGTAATTTTTACAAATATTTTAGTTTCTTCGTCATTATAATCCCGATCTAGAGCGTCCATTTAGAGTGTTTCTCTTAATACCCATAATATTTATAGTATTCGCACTATTTATCATAATTGGGTCTTTCGTAAATGATGCATCAAAAATTCATGCAACGGCACAAGAGCAACAACTAAAACAACATAACGGCGACAAACTGTGTGAAAGCGATAAAGACTACAAATACGCTACATTTGATTATTATCTTCCTTTTGTCGTCAGTTTGGTTGTAATAGGAGTTGGTGCAACTTGCTGGTACGTTTTGTACTCGTTAGGTTGTCAACTTCGATTCAAAACAAGAAGAGTATCCTGTCTACATATAGATGATGCATCATCATGTATGTCGTGGGATGATGATGAGGAATTGCAAGTTAAGATTAAGCGGATGTCACTAAGACAAATGTCTAGGGATTCTTAATAGTTATAGAAAATTTCTATGTATATATCGAACATTTTTTTCTTATATTGTTTTTGATTACATTTCTAATGTTAGAAACTATCTAATTAGAACAGAGCCCTTCATAATAGACAAGGATCGTTGGGCATCGAACAATTTTTTGCATTCGAATATAGCCAACAAAAGCTACCAAACTTTAGAGCTATGCTGTTGAAGCCTTATCTTGATTAGCTAAAGTTTATTATTTTGAAGATTTCAAGGAATCTAACCTACATTACTTTGATGTGAAAAAAATTAACTGAAATAAGGTCCTTCATGTGATCAAATAGGATCTTATGCATACCATATTTTCTAATTGAGGTGCCGGTTTTAGCAAAACATTTATGAACATTCGTCTTTTGACAACTCCAATATTTAGTACATGTATACAGTAATGGTAATGTCTCGTGATTACACGTTATTAGCATGTGTAAATAAATACGTACGTATATACAAAAAGTGAAACTATAAATTCTTCTACATGTACATGTAAAATTTTAGTGATACGTTTTTTTGACTTCGTTCAAAAGTAAATCCATATAACAAAACACAACTCGAATAATATATAAAAGTTATATCTATTAGTATAGTTTCATTTTATTCTAATAAACATATCATTAAATCAATCTGCCCTTCTTCAAAAAGGATTCTCTTTCCGTTATATCGCATCAAAAGAAAATATTAAAAAAAAAATAAAAACTACTGGTTCTGTAAAAGCTTTGCCAAAATCTGGCTGTCCACTATTTTTTACAGGTCGTGATGAACGTAATATTATACGATATATTTCGATTGGTGAACGTTCTAATGCTGTATTGATTCAAAAATAAATTATAAACTAATAATAAAATCAATGTAAGCAATAGTACTATAAGAACATTTTTCAAATATGGTTTTTTTTGTTTAACTAGCAGAAAAACCATTTCTACGTAAACACATCGAAAATTGCGTTTAAAATTTGCTAAGAAATACAAGGATTGAACAGTGGATGATTGGAACAAGGTGATTTTGATATATGGGTCAGACAGTCGTGAATATTGTTGGAAACACAAAAATGAATCGCTAGATGACCGTCATGTAAAACCTACAGTCAATTTGGTGGCGGAAGTATTATGATCTGGGGTTGCTTTTCTTCCTTCGGCGTTGGTAGCATCGTACACATTTTTGGCATCATGAATAAGGGGTTATACCGCGAAATTTGAATGATGACTTGTTAGAAACTATTGAGTATTATGAGTTAGATAAGAATAATATCGTTTTCCAACTAGGGATGTTATTGATTATAGATAAACCGGTTCAGCGGCAGTTCTACAACCGAACTGATTGAATCAGTTTAACTTCAGTTAAATCAATTTAATTAAACATTAATTTTTAACTGTGACTAATTTTAATTAATTACTTAATTTAGAAAACAACGTGTACATAATATTACATGTATAAACTGTCTACGTACTTCGTTATGTTTATGGCTATCTCAAATTTTATTGAGAACAAAGTATTTGATTTAGAAAATATTGAAGAATTTAATAATATCAAAGAAAATAATTATGACCTTGAAACTGAACTTGCAAGTTCATCTACTATATCCAAAATTGAATTAATATTAATAAAAATCGGCACAATCAAACATCTCTTGTTTGGAATTACATGAATAAAAAATTCAATGAAAACATGAAATAGAAGCTATTATTTGAAATCTATGTCAAAACACATTTAGCAAAAAACATCAACTCGTCCTCTTATGGATCATCTTAAAACTTGACGTCATATATAACTACAAATGAACAAAAGCGATATAATAAATAAATTATCCTGGTGATGGAACGCTAGATTTTTCCACTTTTTCATCCAATTAAATTCACGCATATGATTAATCAATAACCGCGATTCAAACCATCAACTGGAATTTTTTAATTGTACTGAACCGAGTCGAACCGATGACATCCCTATTTCCAACAGGATAACGATTTGAAACATACGGATAATTTAACGGAATTATGATAACGATATTGATGTATTAGCATGGCCACCACAATTTCCCGACCTCAACCCGATAGAACATCTCTGGAATGAAATGAAAATCCAGTTCGTACTCAAAATGAGCTATGGGAAACTATTCAAAAAATATGGATAGAAACAGAGCATGACTTTTAACTAGTCTAATTGAAAGTATGCCCGAATGAATAAATGATGTAATCGAGGCTAAAGGAGGGAATACAGTGTGGTAAAGAATAGTTTATTTAAATTTCGTAAATTCTTAGTCGTTAGTTATTTAAATATCAAATTATTTACATTGTAACAGTCAAAAAATGCATCATGTAAAATTGCATCGATCATTATTATTTAATTTACTGATTATTAACTGTAATTTCCACATGAATATCTTTCCATAATTTCCCTTGATAATTCCTACATCCAAAATTAGCCAAATTTAGAAATATTTCATTATGAATGACCATTACCTTTTTTTCTTGTGCCAATATTAATAGTAATAGTGATTATCGAGAAAACGACAATTATCTAGATATTAATTATAAAATCCGAATGTAAGAAAAAATAATAATTCTCTAAAACAATCTGTGAAATTTCATAATTTAAAAAATATTGCTAACAAATTCATTATAATATAATATAAATAAAGATAAATTTATTTCTCCACCACTTGAAACACTTCATAATCTGCAATATCAAAATTCTTCTTTGTATAGTCAGAACTCAACAAACCATTGTCGTAAGAGAATTTCGTACAGTAATTCCTAGAAGTATTGAAATTGGGACCAAGCAAAGCTAAATCACCAAAAAGTGGACCATGACCTGCATGGCACTTCACATTCTGTCCTCCTTTATATTGTCTGCTGAGAATTCCATTGATAGCTTGAATGTCATCAAAATTAAATTTATATAAAAGATATTTGGAACTGAATAGTTTATGTTAAGTGAATTCCATTCAAATGGATTATAACCACCGATGATCTTTTACGCGAATGTTGGACCTTTATTATCACACAGACGATGAAAGTCAGTATTCTTGAATCCATCGCGACTACCTCGCAGTAACAGCTTCCATTCAATTGATTGATTTGTTTGTTTATCAGCTCGTTCTTTAATCCAATCGATTATTTTCGAGATCTGATTCTGCGAAAGAATGGAAGAGTTAATAGTTGCGAGTTTGCGAACTGGGTGTAAGGTAGCCTTGTATTCTTTACTTCCTGGCACCAAATAATGATGCAATAAATCTTTGTATAGTGTTCCCGGTAAAATTTCGGCATACGGTATAACTTTGTTATAAAAATCAACCGAATTGATGTGGAAAAAACGAATTAATGGTAAACAATTTTTGAGCGTGGATTTAAGTTGCTTAGATTCGTCATGTGTTCCATTTTTCTACTGGAATCGTTAGATCAATTTCGCTAGAATCTGCAGCTTGAGAGTTTCCCCATTCAAGTACTTTTTCCCAAAGGTTGATTTCATTCAAAAATTTAGATCTTCACGTTTGAGTAAACAAACTACGTAGTGTTGATTCATTTAACTTAGTAAAATCAGTTGATTGAAAAATAGCAGCTGGATTTTGACACGCGACATCTGTGCAAAATTTTTGAAGGTGAGGCAAAGAGTCATGTTCGAATGCAATTTGATTGATTAAGGTAAAACTCTCTGTTAAAGGTCTAGAATGGCGTTCGATAAGATAAATTTGGACATATTCAATCAGATTTATGAGAATCAACTCATCAGCTGCAACTAATAAATCTAAGTGTCGAAACACCATGATTTTGCAAATCAATTTTCCACTATAAATATAACAAAATTTTAAAATCCAACTTTAATTGTTACTTTATTTAATAGTATTGCTTGTTTTGACATAAAATTACCCTAACAATATTTCAAAAACTCGCGGTTCGATATTTTATTTCTTAAAGACAATCATCTTGTTCGGTTCTCGCTTCACCCATGCATCGGAAAGTGTTGCCGCAAAATATTTTGAATGCGCCACCAATATTGCCGAGTGGGCTGAAAAAGTACGTTGAACATTCTGGTTTTCACCAACAATAATCGAAATGTCACAATAGTTGGAATTTTCATAGAATTTATCGAGTCTGTTTAAGTGTGAAGTTAATAAAAAGTCGGGGTCATTTTTTATTTAGTTTAACGTTAGATGATGTGTTAGCTAACTTATCGTTACGTATCGATCTAAGAATACATGTACATGTATCGGTATGTACGTATAACGTAACGATAACTATCGCTATAAAAAGGGGATGCTAAAACGTTGCAATTCCGGTGATCTGTCCGAGAAACAAACCGATAAGAATGCGTAAATTTTTAATCAAACCGGAAACCGATCCGATGCACGAACTAAAAAATGAAAAGTATGGAAATGTATGCTTTAATCTATCTGTGAGCACTAATTAAAAACGTCGGGCGACAATTTTACATAAACTCTAGCCCTCCACTCTAACCCTAACGTTAAAATCAACCTTTAGCTGTGATAAACACGTATCACGTGTTCACAACGCTTTTATCTATCCCCATAAAATGGTTTAACTGTATGATAGGAAAGTACGTATACTGCTACATGTATTAGTTGTGTTTTTTGTTTGATCGAAAATACGAGACACCCATTTTCGATTCGTTTTGATATTAAAGAATTCTCTCCATAATTCCAATATCATGCTCTTTATTAAATGAAACTGGTAAGTACTTTATTGAATTAAATAGAAATAATAAAATTATATTTTTTTAGTCTAAAACATTTACAGTGAGCGCTCTTTACAGTAATGTGATCGAGGGAAAGGAATTCGTGTTATTATATCGAGATGATAAACCAATTTGATAAATGCTATTGTATCAAATATGTTATTGTAAGGAGTTTTGCTGTAACGAGCTTCCACTGTACATGTATCAACAACTGTGTTTCGAGTTAAAGCACCATATTATACGTTATATGAGTGATAACGATAAATTGATTTATAGTTGACTCTTTAAAG